GTGTGTGTGTGTGTGTGTGTGTGTGTGTGTGTGTGTGTGTGTGTGTGCGTGTAGTAGATCAACTTTTTTCATGATGTTCTAATTTTATGACCAGAACCTGTACACGTTGAAAAATAATTGGTATAATTTTTGTTTTCCCAGTATAATATTGTAGGTCAAAGGCCATGGTGAAAATACTTATTTAGACTATTGTTTCTATATATAAATCAAATTAAGAACCATTTTTTTAATGTCTCAGGTTCTCCAGCTGGGTTCAGAAATCTTGCCTCAGTACAAACAAGAAACTCCAAAGACACCACCTCACATCATTCTGCACTACTGCCTCTTCAAAACCACTTGGGACTGGGTCATCCTCATCCTCACCTTCTACACAGCCATCATGGTGCCCTACAACGTCTCCTTCAAGACCAAACAAAACAATGTCACCTGGCTGGTGGTGGACAGCATTGTGGATGTCATCTTTCTTGTGGACATTGTTCTCAACTTCCATACCACTTTTGTAGGTCCAGCAGGAGAAGTAATCTCTGACCCAAAACTGATTTGCATGAATTACGTCAAGACCTGGTTTGTCATCGACCTACTGTCCTGCCTGCCTTATGATGTCATCAATGCCTTTGAGAATGTTGACGAGGTCAGTAAACAAAAAAGTCCATGCTCAATAATCCATATTATCCGTATTATAATAGTCAGTAAACAAGTTCCTCAATGTGCCAAAAATAACAGCTTCCTGAAAATATAGGAGAAATTAAGTCGAGTTTATTTTATTATTAGATTTAAATACCTGTACATTTTCTTAAGTTGTTTAATAATTACACAGGTATGTTTAAAAAAGGTAAATCTGGTCCTCTGGACATTCAAAAAACAAAACAAAGAAAAAAATGTAGAAACGTTTCATCTTTCATCCAAAGGACTTCCTCAGTCTGAGGTGCTGTATTCAGCTCAGTCATATAAATAGCACCTTCTCAGAGTGGATCAACCAGTTTTGATGCTGTCAATAAGTTGTTGGCAGCTCAGAACATCACATACAGAACACCATGGACTTTGTGGATAAGGTGAGGGATGTCATCATGGAGACTGAAGAAATAATGGTCTCTTTTGATGTCACATCACTCTTTACGTGCATTTCTGTTGATGCAGTAGAGGTGGTCAGTTTAGGATTAAAATCAGACACCACTCTGAGCAGCAGGACCACACTTTCCACAGAACAACTGTCAACTCTTTAAACTGTGCCTGCAGTCAACCTACTTCACATATGGGGAGCAATATTATAGGCAGAAACATGGGTGTGCTATGGCGTCTCCAGTTTCTCCTATTGTTGCCAACCTGTACATGGAGGAGGTAGAAAAGAGAGCCTTGACATCCTTTATAGAGACACCACCAAGTCATTGATTCAGGTATGTTGACACCTGGGTTCAAATTAAATCTCAGGAAATCCAACATTTTACTGACCACATCAACTCTGTGGATAAATACATCAAGTTCACACAAGAAGTTGTAAAAAATGGCAGGTTGGCTTTCTTGGACTGTGAGGTCCCAGTCTCTGATAGAGGATGTTTGTAAACAGAGGTGTACCAAAAACCCACCCACACAGACCATTATTTGCAGTTTGACTCCCACCCTCACCCTTTGGAGCACAAGTTAGGAGTCATCAGGACTCTGTACCACAGAGCAGACAGTGTCCCCACTAACTCAGGAGCTGGGCAGAAGGAGAAATCCCACACAAAACAGGCTCTTGAGCAATGTGGATATCCTAACTGGGCCTTGAAAGCAGAGAAGAAACCCAAACAGGACTCTAGTCAGCCATCAGGTGAAAAAGAGGAACCCAGACCCAGACCAGTGGTCATTCCGTATGTTGAGGGCGTATCAGAGAAACTGAGACATTTATTTTCTAAACAAAACGTCCCAGTGGCTTTTAAACCCCAAAATACATTACGGCGAAGACTGGTTCATCCCAAAGATCCAGTCCCCCAGCACAGAGTAATGTTGTGTATGCTGTTCAGCATCAGGAGGGCTGTGATCAGTCTTACATCGGGGAAATTAAACAGCCACTAGCCAAAAGGATGGACCAGCAAAGAAGAGCAACATCAGGCCAGGACTCTGCGGTCTACACACATCTCCAGGCCAGCGGTCACTCTTTCAGGGATGAAGATGTTCACATCCTGGATAGAGAGGAACAATGGTTTGAGAGAGAAGTAAAGGAGGCCATCTTTGTGAAAAGAAATCGTCCATCATTAAACAGGGGTGGAGGCCTCTGTGTTCAACTGTCCCCCTCTTACAATGCTGTTATTGCTAGTATCACTCAGCCTCCTGTGAATAGTAAACAGCCATCAGTGTGCTAATGATCCATTGTTATGCTGATGGTCCTTCTTGAGCATGTGATCAGCTGGTTCTGGTTGTCAGCAGCAAAACTGGTTGATCCACTCTGAGAAGGTGCTATTTAAGAGACTGAGCTGAAAACAGCACCTCAGACTGAGGAAGTCTTTCGGATGAAAGACTAAACGTTTCTACGTTTATTTTATTTTATTTTTTTGCTTTGTTTTGTTTTTTGAATGTCCAGAGGACCAGATTTAACTTTTTTAGATTTTTCTACTTGGATTATTGAGCATGCATCAGGATACACAGGTATGTGTTTAACAATGAAAACAAACTCTTTCTGTTGTTAATCTGAGAAAAAAAAATCTTAGGATTCAACTTTCAAAAATATCCATCCATCCATCTATCCATTATCAAAGGGGGGGGGGGGGTAGCAGCTTGAGCAGGGAGGCCTAGACAGGAGGCTCTTTCCACAGCCACCTCTTCCAGCTCTAACAGGAGGATCCAAAGGCCTTCCCAGGCCAATTGAGAGACATGGTCTCTCCAGCATGTCCTGGGTCTTCCCCGTGGTCTCCTCCTAGTTGGACATGCCCGAAGGACCTCCCTAGGGGCCTTACAGCTCAGATCTTTCTTCATCACAACGGACCGGTACAGAGTCCGCAATACTGCAGACGCCTCACCAGTCCGTCTGTCAAACTCACACTCCATTCTTCCATCACTCGTGAATAAAACCTAGAGATACTTGAACTCCTCCAATTGATGCAGAATTGTTTGTGTAAAAAAAGGGAAATAATATATTTTTTCATCATTCCCTCTCACAAAATGATTGAACTCTTTTCTGAATTAGAGAAAAGAAAATCAGAGGTCATCCAGGTTTTTACAGTATATAATCTAGACAGGTCTGTTATCTATGAAAGTGATCATTGTTTTCTTTATATCTTTTTTTTTCCTGCAGGGGATCAGCAGCCTCTTCAGCTCACTGAAGGTGGTGCGTCTGTTGCGTTTGGGTCGAGTTGCCAGGAAGCTGGACCACTACATTGAATATGGCGCTGCTGTCCTGGTTTTACTAGTATGTGTGTTTGGCCTAGCAGCCCACTGGCTGGCCTGTATTTGGTACAGTATTGGAGACTACGAAGTGATTGATGAGGATACAAATAACGTGAGACTGGACAGCTGGTTATACCTGTTGGGCGAAGCAGTGGGTACACCATACAGATTCAACATCTCTGGTTCGAGCCGCTGGGAGGGCGGGCCCAGCAAAGACTCCGTCTACATCACCTCTCTGTACTTCACCATGACCAGCCTGACAAGCATTGGCTTTGGAAACATTGCACCAAACACAGATGGAGAGAAGATCTTTGCTGTGGCCATGATGATGATTGGATGTGAGTCTATGCCATTCCCTTTTATTTAACAGTTTGATGGCACTAAAAAATTAATATTCAGTTATTTGTTTTTTTTGTGTTTTTTTAAGTAGTTTGTTTCAAGCATATTTGAGAGCTATCTTGTTTATCTCTGGAACCATGCTGTTTCTGTAGCTTTATTTTATTTGCATTCAATTAATTTCAGTTTATTTATATAGTGACAAGTCACAACAGAAATCTCAGGGCAATGTACAGAAATATTTCCATACATAAAAAACAATTAATATAAGTTATCTATTTAAGTCATCAGAATGTGTTGAACCTTCACTTCCAGCTGTACTTTCAATAGGAGGAAAGACAGAAAAAACATGTTAACATAGAAATAATTACAAATACAAACAGGTAGCATAGAACATGTAAAGACAGCAGCAGAGTGAGGAAATGTGGTCAATGTGTCATCCAGCAGTCAGTCTATAGCAGCATAACTAAGGAATAGCACAGGAAACCCTAGCCAACCCCAAATAAAGGATTTATCAAAAAGAAAAAAAAAAAAAAAGGATTATTGAACATGGACTTTATTGTTTTGAACCAGTTTGACATGACTGTCGACGAGGAAGAGGGCCGGCAACGGAGGAGGGGGTGTGCCAAAGAGACCATCTTAGCACAAACATAACTGGTTTGTTCCACTTTGGAGTAAGCTGTTGGGGGAAGAATCAGTTGTGTGTTGTGCGTTTCCTTGACTGATGAAGCCTTCCGGATGGAAGGTGAAATGTTTCAGCACAAAAAAAAGAAACTGTCCAGATGACCTGACCGAAAAATGTTGGAAAAATCTTTAAAGTAGATAAAAATAAAAGTTACAAATGAGCACCAGCACACTTCTCTATTCCTCAGGCATTTTCTCACCCTCAAATATGCCATTGAATATTGGAGTCAAAAACCTCACTGCCATCTCTCATCTCTCAAAGACATTTCCAAACATCCACTGGTATGTCATCAGGTCCTACTGACTTCCTCTTCATTATTTTCATAGCTTTCTGAACTTCACCCTCACTAATCTTTCCCACTTCCTGGCCAAAAATTCTATGACCTCTACTCTTCTTTTGCTTTCCTCCTCTTTATTCATTCCCTTATATTCCTGTCTCCTCTCTTCAATCTTCACATTATCATATTTCTTTTTGGCTAACCTCTTTCTTTTAATACCTTCCTACACTTCACTATCCCACCACCAGGTTTCCTTATCCATTCTCTGTCCAGATGACACATCAAATACATTCCTACCGGTCTCTCTAATTACTGTTGCTGTAGTAGCTCAGTCATCTGAAACTCTTGGATGGACTGGGACTTAGGCATACCTTTTGTCTTGTTTGCTGCTCGAGAGTCCACTCAGAAATCTGAGTTGATGTTTGGTCATACATTCTGTAGTCCTCTAAAAATCCTCAAAGAGAAACTCCTAGAGGTAAATTCTTCTCTCCAGAACAGTTTTGGCTATGTCTGCAAGTTCAGAGAAACTCCACCATTCACATGAATTTGCAAGAAAAACACTCTGCGACTCACAGAAGTACATGAAACGGCATAATGACCGTTCTACCATGTCACGTTCCTTTGTTGTTGGTGACAAGGTCCTAGCATTGCTATCTGTTCCTGGTTCTACTCTGTCTGCAACATTTTCTGAACCTTATTCAATTCAATTCAGTTTATTTATATAGCGCCAAATAACAACAAAGTTGTCTCAGGGCAATTTACAGACACATTCACATACATTAAAAAGCCAATTAGTAAAGTTCTCTATCTAAGGAGGCCAGCAGACAAGTTCAATCTTGGCTTTGTTGCAGTTTCCCATCCTGAGCAAGCACAGTGGCAACCATGGAAAGGAAAAACTCCCTTTTAAAAGGAAGAAACCTCCAGCAGAACCAGGCTCAGGACAAGCGGCCATCTGATTTGACCTTATGAGCTTTGTGAAAAGTTAAGTGACAGATTATGTAATCGGTACTCCTGAACGGAGGAGAAAGTTTCAACTATGTCACACAAACATGTTGAAACCTTACTGTACTTGAGAGCCAAACGCTACTTATGAACTTCAAACAGGTCAACCGTTACTTTCCATTCAGGGCTTCATTTGTAAACTGATTGATGCTGGAACCAGTGTTGCCAGGTGAGAAATGTAGGATTATCGTACACTGACATAAAATTATCATATTTTGAGGGAAATTATCATACACCCATCATAACCAGAATAACATCTATTTATGCACTATAGTAGTGATGGGTCCGCTTCCAGACCGGCTCTGCTTATTCTTTTCTTTTCCTCACTCATGAGGCAGGCGCAGCAGACTTTTCAGCCAATCATGGCTGTTGTTCTCAGGCAAACGCATACACGTTACTTGTAGGTAACATTTAGAAAAGCACGATTGGCTGGAGCCAATCGTGCATCTGTTTGCGGACACAGATGCCTTCAGGGTTCACAAAAAAACTCCGGCAGACAAGTGTGAGAGGCTGATGACAACTGATTACAACCACACATTCACGAAATGGTCAAATTATCGTATATTTGGCCTTTTTTGGGATTATTGATCATACATCGTACAGAGGGCAAAATTGTTGTACAAATACGATAATTATCGTACACCTGGCAACACTGGCTGGAACAGTGGGCAGGCCGGGGGGAGGGGGGTTCCATGGGTCCTCTCACAGAAATTTTTGAATAACAAAGATGACATTTCCTGAATTTTGGTGTATTTTAACAGATTGTTATACAACAACATTTACCTACAATTGTAGACAATAAAATTACTACTATTATTGTTGTCGCTGTTGTCCATTGTTGTCATCGTTCTTTGTTGAAATCAGGTCTCTCTTGTAAATGAGTCCTCAAGGCTCAATGGGATTTACCTGTCTAAAAAAAGGTTGAATGAAAAATTTTGGAGAGGAACAGCAGGTTATGCGTGAATAGAGCATCTGCAATTTTGTCAGGTTTCCTAAACCCCCTCCTCCCTCCCCACACTTCACAGTTCTGAGCTGAAATCTTCTCTGCTGAATTCAGTCCTCATGGATAAATATATCAAGTTCACACAAGAAGATATAAAAAATGGCAGGCTGGCTTTCTTGGACTGTGAGGTCTCAGTTTCTGATAGAGGACATTTGCAAAGTGAGGTGTACCAAAAACCCACCCACACAGACAAGTATTTGCAATTTGACTCCCATCACCCTTTGGAACACAAGTTAGGAGTCATCAGGATTCTGTACCACAGAGCAGACAGCATCCCCACTAACTCAGGAGCCAGGCAGAAGGAGAAATCCCACAAAAGACAAGCTTTAGAGCAATGTGGATATCCTAACTGGGGCTTCCTGAAAGCAGAGAAGAAACCCAAACAAGACTCCAGCCAGCAATCAGGTGAAAAGGAGGAACCCAGACCGACAAGTGGTCATTCCATATGTTGTGGGAGTATCAGAGAAACGGAGACATTTATTTTCTAAACACAACGTCCCAGTGGCTTTTAAACACCAAAATACATCATGGCAAACACTGGTTCAGTCCAAATATCCAGTCCCCCGGCACAAAGAGTAATATTGTGTATGCTGTTCAGTCGGGGAGCCCTATGGGAGGTACTCCGGGAGTATGGGGTAACAGGCCCTTTGATACGGGCTGTTTAGTCCCTGTACGACCGTTGTCAGAGCTTGGTCCGCATTGCTGGCAGTAAGTCGGGCTCGTTCCCAGTGAGAGTTGGACTCGGCCAAGGTTGTCCTTTGTCACCGATTCTGTTCGTAACTTTTATGGACAGAATTTATAGGCACAGCCAAGGTGTTGATGGGATCCGTTTCGGTGGCCTTAGGATCGCTTCTCTGTTTTTTGCAGATGATGTGGTCCTATTGGCATAATCAAGTCAAGTCAAGTCAAGTCAAGTCATCTTTATTTGTAGAGCACAATTTAAAACAGATAAACTGTTATGAAAGTGCTTAACAGAAATGTAGCAAAACATAGGCAGCAAAACAAAAACATCATACAGATTAAAATTACTGGAGCAATAACACACACTAATGATCACACTAAGGAAAAACAAGCAGTAAAAATAAACGTCAATCATTAAAACAACAGAATTTAAAATGAGGTACACAGAACAAAATAAACTAACTCACACAGTATTAAACGCCAGAGCAAACAGGTGCGTTTTAAGGAGGGATTTGAACACCAGGAGGGAGGAGGCCTGCCTGATGTTGAGGGGCAGGTTGTTCCACAGGTTGGGACCTCTGACTGAAAAAGCTCGATCCCCTCGGAGCTTCAGGCGTGATTTTGGAACGACCAAAAGAAGCTGGTCCGATGATCTCAGGGCCCGAGATGGAACATATGGTTCCAGGAGCTCAGAGAGGTAGAGGGGTGCGAGGCCATTAAGGCACTTATATGTCAGGAGGAGAATCTTGAAGTCGATTCTGGATCGCACAGGAAGCCAGTGAAGGGAGGACAGAACAGGTGTGATGTGCTCAGACCTACGTGTACCAGTTAAAAGCCGAGCAGCTGCATTCTGGACGAGCTGGAGACGTGAAATGGACGCCTGACTGACCCCAGCATAAACTGAGTTACAATAGTCCAGGCGGGTTGTGATGAAGGCATGGACTAATGAGTCATGATATACAGCTTTCGCTGGAGCAGTTCCCAGCAGAGTGTGACGCAGCCAGGATGAGGATCAGTTCCTCCAAATCCGAGGCCATGGTCTTGAGCCGAAAAAGGGTAGAGTGCCCTCTCTGGGTCGAGGAGGAGGTCCTGCCCCAGATGGAGGAGTTTAAGTATCTAGGGGTCTTGTTCACGAATGAGGGAAAAACAGAGCGTGATATTGATAGGCGAATAGGTGCAGCATCGGCAGTGAAGCGGGCGCTGTATCGGTTTGTTGTGGTGAAGAAAGAGCTGAGTCAAAAGGCAAAGCTCTCAATTTACTGGTTGATCTACGTTCCTACCCTCATCTATGGTCATGAGCTTTGGGTTGTGACCGAAAGAACGAGATCACAGATACAGGCGGCCGAAATGAGTTTTTTCCGCAGGGTGTCTGGGCTATCCCTTAGAGATAGGGTGAGAAGCTTGGTCATCCGGGAGAGACTCATAGTAGAGCCGCTACTTCTCCACATCGAGAGGAGCCAGTTGATGTGGCGTGGGCATCTGGTTAGGATGCCTCCTGGACGCCTCCCTGGTGAGGTGTTCCGGGCACGTCCAACTGGGAGGAGACCCAGAGGAAGACCCAGGACACGCTGGAGGGACTATATTTCTCGGCTGGCCTGGGAACGCCTTGGGATTCCCCTGGAGGAGCTGGCACAAGTGACTGGGGAGAGGGAAGTCTGGGCCTCCCTACTTAAGCTGCTACCCCTGCGACCCAACCCCGTATAAGTGGAAGAAAATGGATGGATGGATGCTGTTCAGTGTCAGGAGGGCTGTGATCAGTCTTACATTGGGAAAACTGAACAGCCACTGGCCAAAAGGATGGCCCAGCACAGAAAATCAACATCATCAGGCCAGGACTCTGCGGTGTACACTCATCTCCAGGCCAACGGTCACTCTTTCAGAGATGAAGATGTTCACATCCTTGATAGAGAGGAACAATGGTTTGAGAGAGGAGTGAAGGAGGCCATCTTTGTGAAAAGAAACCATCCATCATTAAACAGAGGTGGATGCCTCCATGTTCAATTGTCCCCCTCTTACAATGCTGTTGTTGCTAGTATCTCTCAGCCCCCTGTGAATAGCAAACAGCCATCAGTGTGCTAACAATCCATCGTTAGGCTGATGGTCCTATATCATGTGAGCAGCTGGTTTTGGCTGTCAGCAGTAAACTAGTGGCTCCACTACAAGAAGGTGCTATTTATAAGCACCTCAGACTGAGGAAGTTTTTCGGATTATACATGAAACGTTTCTACATATCCTGATGCATGCTCAATAATCCAGGTAGAAAAATCTAAAAAAGTTAAATCTGGTCCTGTTGACATTCAAAAAAAAAAAAAAAAAAGCAAAACAACAAAAAAAATGTAGAAACGTTTCGTCTCTCATCCGAGAGACTTCCTCAGTCTGAGGTGCTGCATTCAGCTCAGCCTCTTAAATAGCACCTTCTCAGAGTGGAACAACCAGTTTTGCTGCTGACAACCAAAACCAGCTGATCACATGCTCAAGAAGGACCATCAGCCTAACAATGGATCATTAGCACACTGATGGCTGTTTACTATTCACAGAGGGCTGAGTGATACTAGCAATCACAGCATTGTAAGAGGGGGACAATTGAACACGTAGGCCTCAACCCCTGTTTAACGATGGACGGTTTCTTTTCACAAAGATGGCCTCCTTTACTCCTCTCTCAAACCATCGTTCCTCTCTATCCAGGATGTGCACATCTTCATCCCTGAAAGAGTGACCGCTGGCCTGGAGATGAGTATAGACCGCAGAGTCCTGGCCTGATGATGTTGATCTTCTGTGCTGGGCCATCCTTTTGGCCAGTGGCTGTTTTGTTTCCCGGATGTAAGACTGATCACAGCCCTCCTGACACTGAACAGCATACACAGCATTACTCTGTTTGTGCCGGGGGACTGGATCTTTGGGATGAACCAGTCTTTGCCGTAATGTATTTTGGGGTTTAAAAGCCACTGAGACGTTTATTTTCTAAACATAACGTCCCAGTGGCTTTTA